GCACGATCTCGGCTCACCGCAACCTCCGCCCCCTGGGTTCAGGCAATTCTCCTGCCTCATCCTCCTTAGTAGCTGGGATTACAGGCACGCATCACCATGCCCAGCTAATTTTTTGTATTTTTAGTAGAGACGGGGTTTCACCATGTTGACCAGGATGGTCTCGATCTCTTGACCTCGTGATCCACCCGCCTCAGCCTCCCAAAGTGCTGGGATTACAGGCTTGAGCCACCGTGCCCGGCCTTCTAATTCTTTTCTAAATCAATCTTTATATGGGAACAGGCTGAGACTTCAGATCCTTGCCATGGCATTTGCGGGAGTTTCCCCCCATACCCTCTTCTCTGAGCACCCACCATGTGTGCTGCCATGCTGAGAGGCAGCTTCCAGGAGCTCTGAGAGTCATAGAAACCAATCTCATACTCAAAAATATAATACTAGACTGGGCACGAAGGGGATTTTTCATCCCTTCTTCTCTGAGGCCCCACTCTTTCTACCAGATTGAGCCTAACTTCAGTCTCCCCCTGTCCTGTTATCCCCTTTAGGCCTCTCTGAGGATACAAGAAGACTCAACCTTCTTGGGATTGACCCTTGAAGCCATGGATAGGTTGGTTCCCCAATCTAAGAATTAATGCTAGGACATGATACTTGCAGCTTGCTTCGTTTTTTTTTTCTTTTCTTTTCTTTTTTTTTTTTTTTTGAGATGGAGTCTTGCTTTGTCATCCAGGTTTGAGTGCAGTGGCAGGATCTCTGCTCAATGCAACCTTCACCTCCCAGGTTCAAGTGATTCTTGTGCCTCAGCCTCCCAAGTAGCTGGGACTACAGTCATGAACCACAGTGCCCGGCTAATTTTTGCATTTTTAGTAGAGACAGGGTTTCACCATGTTGGCCAGGCTGGTCTCGAGCTCCTGACCTCATGATCCACCCACCTCAGCTTCCCAAAGTGCTGGGATTACAGGCATGAGCCACTGTGCCAGGCCATTTTTAATTTTTTCGTGTGTGTGATAGGGTTCCCACTATGTTGCCAGGACTGGTCTTAAATTCCTGGGCTCAAATGGTCCTCCTGCCTCAGCCTCCCAAGGTGCTAGGATTACAAGCATGAGCCACCATGCCCAACCTCGTAGTACACTTTTGAGTATGAGGTGGTTATGACTGCCAAACCTCCTGGAAGCTGCCACTGGAACCAACTGGTACTTCTGCATCTCAGCGTGGCATAATACAGGGTGTGGGTACTCAGATCCCCAGCTCACCATCTACTGCTGTCAAATGAGATGAGGAGTTGGGTTTTCATGCACACTAGTCCTTAGTTCATTGTGCTTTCAAAGGTTTCTACCCAGGCTGGCGACAGTGGCAAGGTTTTCCACCAAGTGCAGCACTGCACAGGGCAGGGATACAATTCGTGTTGACGGAATGGCTGAGTGACATCATGTGCACAGTGCCTACATTTCCTGAGATTGGTTGATTGGAGAATCAAAGTAAACTCTGAAAGATTTCTAAAGTGCAAAGCCTGAGGAACTTACCAGACTCTACATTCTAGTAAAGCTTTTAGTCAAAGTCTTCCCTGATCTGTGAGTCATCACTTGTTGCTAGACTTAATTTTTTTTTTAACTGGCATGAGTCAGAGACATTTAGCAAAACTTCCTAAGATGTTGCTGATGCCTGTAATCCCAGCACTTTGGGAGCCCAAGGTGGGCAGATCTCCTGAGGCTGGGAGCCTGACCAACATGGAGAAACCCAATTACAAAATTGGCCGGGTGCAGTGGCTCACGCCTGTAATCCCAGCACTTTGAAAGGCCAAGACAGGTGGATCACGAGGTCAAGAGATCGAGATCATCCTGGTCAACATGGTGAAACTCTGTCTCTACTAAAAATTCAAAAATTAGCTGAGTGTGGTGGTGCACACCTGTAGTCCCAGCTTCTCAGGAGGCTGAGGTAGGAGAATCGCTTGAATGTGGGAGGCAGAGGTTGCAGTGAGCGGAGATCATGCCACTGCACTCCAGCCTGGGCAAGAAAGCAACACTCCATCTCAAAAAAAAAAAAAAAAAAAAAAAAAAAAATTAGCTGGGCGTGGTGGTGCATGCTTGTAATCACAGCTACTTGGGAGGCTGAGGCAGGAGATTTACTTGAACCTGGGAGGTAGGTGGAGATTGCAGTTAGCAGAGATCGCGCCATTGCACTCCAGCCTGGGCAACAAGAGCAAAACAAGGACAAAAAACTTTCAGCCGGGCCCAGTGGCTCACTCCTGTAATCCCAGCACTTTGGGAGGCTAAGGCAGGCAGATCACTAGGTCAAGAGATTGAGACCATCCTGGCCAACATGGTGAAACCCTGTCTCTAGTGAAAATACAAACATTAGCTGGGCGTAGTGGCACGCATCTGTAGTCCCAGCTACTCAGGAGGCTAAGGCAGAAGAATCACTTGAGCCAAACCTGGGAGGTGAAGGTTGCAGTGTGAGAGATCACGCCACTGCACTCCAGCCTGGCGACAGAGCGAGACTCCATCTCAAAAAAAAAAAAAAAAAAACTTCCTAAAATATTACTTTACCAGGAGATAATTGTCTTCAAAACATAGCCAAACTGCACAGCAGCGTTGTAGCCCTGTAGTTCAACTGGTGATTTTTAATTTCTTTAGTGTGAGTTCTAAAATTTCTCAGGCCAGGCGCGGTGGCTCAAGCCTGTAATCCCAGCACTTTGGGAGGCCGAGGCGGGTGGATCACGAGGTCAAGAGATCGAGACCATCCTGGTCAACATGGTGAAACCCCATCTCTATGAAAAATACAAAAACATTAGCTGGGCATGGTGGTGCGTGCCTGTAATCCCAGCTACTCAGGAGGCTGAGGCAGGAGAATTGCCTGAACCCAGGAGGCGGAGGTTGCG